TAGGTGTAGAAATTAATTCTGTTCCTGCATAATCCAGAAGGCAAATAAATATAAAGGCACACAATTACAATCTACACTAGTACACTAATAGAAAAAATTACTGTATGAAGAGTATAAAATAAACGTCAGAAAATAAAATAAAATAAAGAATATACGGTTGAGGACTCGGGGAGTTGAACACAAAAGTTGGAATATTTTTCCCATTGAGACTTGTTTCTATTTCTAAATGTACTTTCAGCATCGCCATGTGTTCCAATGTCGAATACAACGGTCCAACGTAGAAAAAAAGAAGACAAAGCGCACTCGACGAGTAGGAGAGTTTTCGTTCCGTCGCTAGGAGGGAAAGGGGAATTCGAACGAGTGTTTGGAAACCCAAGGAGCCAACGAGTAGAAAAGAAATCCTGGAGTATTAGGAGCTAATGCTAGCCATTTTAGTAAAAAACTATCGTTAAGAAGTGTTCCCATGATAAATTCGCAGTGTTCGAAGTAATATATTCGTATCACGCACGGTACAGACGTATAATTCCCGATGATTTAACGTTTCGTGCAATTATGGCGGGTAAGAATGCTCGGAACCTTCCAAGAAAGCATCAGCCGCTACTATGTTACCACACGCGCGCGCGAAAATATTTCTCTGAAAATTGAATTTCGCAAAACCGCGCCGATCGATGGTAAATATAAAATTGCTGCTCGTGAAAAGAGCGAAATTGTAATTTATATAAGTGCGTGAACGTGACAGAGCATTTAACCTACTTTGTAGCAGAACAATGATCGCAAGATAAAACATCGGCAAATTTAAACAACTTGATATCGCGTGCCTTCCATTATAATGTTAATTGTGAATAATTACATCCTCAATTAGTCTACCGTGTAACATTGTTGGCAACGTTTGGCTCGTTATTGTTGTGTTACGAAGCAACGTAAAAAAATTTATTTAAAACTACTAGCGTGTTTTAATTTCATTGGGACCGAGCCAAGAAACAAGGCTGAAGAAAACTTTCGACAAATAAATGTTGAGCCAGTGTTTCTCAAATTTCACCTCGCCAACCTCTCGAACGAACACGGGCGACTACTTAATTACTTCCGAGAAACGAGCGGAATTCGCGCTTTAAATAAACCGTGGGTACGAAAAATAGATTTTATACGACAATCGGAAGCAACGAGGACAATAGCTGCGCAAAGAACAACAGGGAAAACGTAAACCGAAACCGTCGTTTCGCCAGGAAAAGATAACAAGAGTTCGAGGGTCGTACGGTCTCTTGAAATCGCGGATGACGATCGTTGCAAAAATACGTGGCAAAATAATCCGATAGGTGTGTTAGTGCGGAAGAATGAATGAAACAAACCGCATTAGGTGGCGAAACAGACGAAGATTTCGATAAATTGCACGCTATTAGGACTCGATTGAAAAAGAGCAAGCCGTTTCACGCGAATCGACCTAGTAATTCGCTATGATTTACCACGTGTCGCGCAATTACGACCGCAGGTAAGAATGCTTCCAAGACAGCGCACGGGACCAATAATTAACAGTACGAGTAACGAGAGTTTCGTTTGGGTTCTATTCGGTGTAAAAATTTTAATTATTAGGCGTAGAAATTAATTCTGTTGCTACTTGCTTACGAAGGAAGCTCTTAATTACGTGTAATGAAAACGCAGAAATTTTGATCGTCTCACAGTTCCACGTACTAAGAGAGTACCATACAGTTGCAAAAACAAAATTACTTGTAAACAATCCTACGTAAACTAAATTTACAAATGTATGAATACAAAGGCGCAGAATTAATTTCTACAAATAATGAACTTATTAAAAATTGTGACTTTAATCTAACGATAATCGCCTTAACCTCTTCGTACCTGTTGTACTAGTTTGGTACTAATGAGTCCTTTAAACGGAATTTATATTTTAATTATTCAAAGTCCCGCGCGTATAATTCAATTACATTCGTGAAACTCGAAATAACTGGATTGGTCACGTGAGGAATACCTTCTCGACTCAAAGGAAAGAGTTCGGACGAAGTAGGTCGAGAGGATCGATTTTCTAAAACAAAATCGATTCGGAATCGATCACCCCAACCCCGAACTCCGTGCTGGATCGGGTAAACAAATTCGTGCTATTCGCAGCGAAGCGTAAACAACGCGAACAGATCGCGTTTCGCGCGACTGTTTAGGATTCGAACTCGTTCCGAAGTCGGGAATACGTGCGGGAACGCGATGCAATCGCGCGATAACTTCGCCACGCGAAATCACCGTGAGTGGAACGTTTCGAAAAGTGCACTCTAAACAAGCGACGGTTCCCGGTAACCTGTATGAAATATCATGGAACGCGCGTCTGTCGGGTCCACTGTATTTAACTCGTACGGAGTAAATTATTTCTCGAGAGAAAAATGTTGATTCTCGAACAATTGCAAAACTCGCATCGTTTTCAGCGGAACGCGTAAACAAAAATTTGCGATTTTATCGAACGCGCGATCGACGAGTGCCGAGAGCGGATCTCGCTCGGATTGGACTCGTGCACGAGAACGAGAACGCGAGGAAAGATTGGAAAGGTGATCGAGCGATCGTTGAATCGGTGACAGGAGAGAGAAGCGAGGCTTTTACGAAAGGAATCGTGCGCTCACCTCGGTAGCGGCGTTGCATCCCGCGAGAATGACGGCCGTGCTGATCAGAATCCAATATATCCTCGGTTGCATCTTTTCTCCGGTTTCCGTTGGGCCCGTTCAAGAGCCCACTGCTTCGATCACCGCGTCGACTCCAGGAAACCCAAACGAAAAAGAACGCGTACGTCCCAGAGGCAGGAACAAACCACCAAAAAAATCCACCGGAGCAACAACGCGAAACACACCACACTGATCGATGAACCGCGAGACACTGAGGGCGCGACGATCGGCCGCTCTCGTCGCTCGACCGCCGCCATCTTGAAACTGTTGCGCGCGACGACTGGCGGCCATGCCGACAACCACTTCGAGCAAATCTTTCGATGCTGCGCGAGAGTTTTGAATCCAGTTCGTGCATCGTACTTCTCCCGCGCTTTTCCCGTGCTGGAAAACATAGAAGTCGTAAAATACAGGATGTCCCAAAAATGTTGTAACACCTTGAAAGGGATGGTTCAGGAGGTGATTTGAAACAACTTTTTCCTTAGCGAAAATGTTGTCAGAGGTTTCGTTGAAGAGATATTAACGGAAAACACTGACCATTCAGAGCGCGACGATGCCGATGGAGCGCTCGCGGTAGCCAATGAGCGCGGCCGCCTATCGCGTAGTCTACGCTCAACCGGCATCCTCGCGCTCTGATTGGTCAGTGTTTTCCGTTAATATTTCTTCAACAAACCTCTGACAACATTTTCGCTAAGGAAAAAGTTGTTTGAAATCACCTCCTGAACCATCCCTTTCAAGGTGTTACAACATTTTTGGGACACCCTGTATAACCGCGTTCGTCCATTCAAAGTGAGCTGCAACCGCAATGGACAATATCGAAAGGCAGAATTCGTTCGGTGAAACAATTTGGCGAGGGTTTCCAGTGGTTATCGAGGACTACTACGATGTTCGCAAGGATGTTCGGCGACTATTGGAGTACCATAGGCAAGTCAACGATAAACTAATACTTATTTACTGTTGTGCACTCGATTCTCTTTTCAAGTAGTACGTAGGTATCGAAGGATATCGTATGAAAGTGCACACTGTGGCTAAATGAATAATTTGTTGAAAGATTCCAATAAATCATGCAAAAAATTTCTATGCAATGCTTGATAAAGTTACGAACGAATGTCTGTATTTCACTATCATGTAAAAAGAGAATTGTACGTACCTGGAAAACTAAATATTCTTCGTAAAACGCAAACGTTTTGTGAATAGTACTCATGAAAGAAACCTCACTTTCGACAAATAGAAAGTTCTATTTAATAAAATTTCTATTCACTGCGTTAATTATGAAACCACTGTTCGTAAAGTTACCCTCGCATGCCGCCATTTTAGAACCGTTTTGCGCCAACTCGTGCTTTTGGCGCCATTTCGATTTCGCATATTTATGACATAATTACTGATTATCTTAGAAAACCAAATTACTTTCTTTATTTGCTTGTAACTTTGATGATTCTATAATATCTACTTTTAAAATTAACAAGTATCATTGAGTCTCGATTCTAAAATTATGTCACAAGAAAGAAACCGGAGATAGTCGAGAAAAAACGAATACATTATAATTGCGTACGATGACACGATCACTTTTTATCGCTAGCCGATAAGTCTTTGTCGAGACCTTTTAAAAATCGAAGGTTCTCGTTTATGTTGCGATTATATTCTTCAATTTTGTTCTGCATTGCTGTAACTTCGTTTTGCATGCACTTCACCTCTTCCTGCATTTTTTGCTTTACCATTTCTAGCAATTGTTTGTCCTGAAGAGTACGTTAATCAATTTTTCATATCCACTGATCCAACAAGCTTCGTTAATCATACAATACATTACCTGTTTGTAATAAAGTTCAGCTTCAAAGGCTACATTATCATTTGATGTTTTATTGTCACTTGAATCACTGCTTCTTCTTTTAAAATATCTAGAACTAAAGAATTAAAAAAGAAAGGTATATATGTATTCTAAAAAGTTAACATAACCCTTAAAAGAAATAATCGTAAGTAGTAATGAATTCGTAAATTATACTCACCTACCAGATTCGCACGATAAAGTTCGTAAAATGTATCGAAACATGTTTATTAAATGGGAAAATCGCAAAGGTTCAATTTGACAGAAATTTTGCTTTTCTGTCATCAACATTAAAACATCTGAATACAGATGTAATCGGAAAGTAGTCGAAATAATCGATTTCAACTTCGTATATCGTGTGCATTATGTGTAACAAAGTAAGATTCGGTATTTCTAACTACAAGATAATAAGTAGCTGCTTCTTTTTATGATGTATTAAAATCAATGTATTTTATTCTATATTAACATTTTGTAACAAAAGAAGAAGAAAAGTACAGACATGATGATTCTACCATCGTTACTATCTGCAATGCATAATGATATCGTAAAGGGCAACATTACACTTCTTAAAAGTTAGGAATATCGCGCCACCGTAAGCATTTCATTCTGTCATGTTCGTGATTCTCTGTTTGTGACGGTTTATAGCTTCTTGGTGACGCTTGATCTGTTCCTCATGGAAGGAGATCTCGTCGTGTAGATCTTCCTTAAGCTTCTGGAATTGCTCCTTTTGCTACAAGAAAAACCTTTGTTATAAATTTTGACAAATAATCAGTGAGGAAATATAAAAAATAAATCATAGTTCATTATTCATATAGTACCAAATGAATGCAACTAACCAAATTATAAAAATACTGATCTTCGTGGGCAGCCTCCATTTTACCAAAAGATCCTCCAGCTTCGCGAATGCTTCCACCACCACCACCACCTTTACCAGCACCCGATCCACGTTCTCCCGACATTCTTGCTTGGCTGCAATCAACAGTTTCTTTGAATTAGAAACTTCTAATGTTTTATGCTGCCAAAAAAAAAAGACTGTGGCGCAGCAGTAGTAGTTAAAAATACCCAGTGTCCGCTTATATCATCGATGCACAGTGTAGTTAACCAATTTAATGCAAAGTATTCCTAGCTTTGGTTGCTAACATTAAAATTAGTCAGAAATCGAAAACAGGGTTAATATATAAATACTTTTGGCCAATACCAAGATTCACGAGTGTTACATAATTTTGGTTCATACAGAAGTAATTCAATAATAAGTCATGGATTTACTAAAATTCACTGAGGGAACTCGAATAAAACGCAAGTCGTTTATTTCCTACGTTATAATAAAAAAACAGGAGCAAATCGGAATTCAAGATACGTCTCTCTGAATTGTACTTTGTGCCAAGTGCGTAAAACGCCGGGGTCGAATTAAACGTTAGCATAAAGAAAAAATGGACGAATATATGTCGTGACAGATATTCTCTAATACCTTAATGAAGCCATATTGCGGGAAATTGTAACAATAACTCGTTGCATTGTTCTTGTCGGCGATATTTTAAAGTGCAGCAAGTACTGTCGATTCCAATGGAAACCATATACTACTATTAGTAGGAGAGGTCGTCATATGGCCCTCTCCAGAAGGAACTTCGCGAAATGGCCGTCACGGCGCTTTACTGGCGGCAACGTTAATTTAATTCTTATCACGAATAAAAGAAATCTAAATTTCTGCTACGATTTTCAATGCAATAATTTAAAAAATTGAAGAAATAGGAGTGTACCAACCCGTAATATTCAGCAGCTTCGTTTTCAATCAACTGCCTTTTAATCTCCGAGGTTTTCAGTTCGTTGATGGCGGTTTGTTTCTCCAATTCGGCGCGTTCCAGATCAATGTTCAGTATCTTTAGTTTCAAATCGTGTTCCTTTTGAGCCACCTCCAACGTCCACGTCGTTCTTCGAATGGCCTCTTCTTGGTTGCTAATCTGGTCAATTTTGTCCTTCGAAGTGGACGAGGACCTACTCTCTCCTACTTAGAAAAATGGATTTAATTACGTATAGATTAAAAATAATATTTCGTATGGTTGTGACATTATTACTTTTGTTATTAGAGCCATATAGAATATTATTTTTATACTTTATCGATTCATAGATATTTTAATTTTCTCATCGTAACTGACTTTAACGAATTTAGCATTTTAAGGACTTGGTTTGACTTGAGGACTTGAGGTTTACTTTATAGAATTTTCGTTCTACTTAAAATCTATTTTATTACTTTTCCTTTATCGTTAGTATAAGATAGAGTACGTCTGTTCAGACCAGGGGCGGATGTAGATATCACATGAGAGAGGCGACATATATAAAACGCAAATTTTTTAACATTCTTTTGCACAATTCTAAACTTTCTCAATTACATTTCCCTAAGATTTAACAATTCGTTTAGATTAAAAATCAGAGTACCATTATCAAGGCGACGAGGATTGGCATTATCAGCACGTGGCCTTTGTTCAGCGAGGTCTATTGGTTCATTCTCAGAAACTCGCGGCCTTTTTCTCTCTCTGACGGGCTTTCCTTGACTACACTCCTCTTCCGTGTGAGAATCGTCGCTTTCTGGCTCGGCTTTGATTTCGTCGACCAACGGATCCGGCGTGGAGGTAGGCAGTTTGTCCAGGATGGCCTGCAGACTCACAGAACTCTCGCTACCTTCCTGACTGTTCTCGTCCGAACGATCGCCGTCACCGTCGCTCTTCTTCGCCTTCTCCATCAATCTCCATACGTCTATCGAGAGGTTCGATGGACGACACTTGGCTGCTTCCTCGGGGCCCAGATTCTTCAACTAACAGGTAATCTTATTTATTCCGTTCACCGCGAAAATCTCGTTAATACAGGTATGCTCAAGAACCAAAGAGAATGGCCCTGGGTGGAATTCGCAATTTTTTTTTTTTTTTTTTTTTACAAATTTCGAATGGCATAACTGGATGGCATTATCTCGAGAACGTATTTCGAGTGCTTGAGTACCGACCGTGACAGAGGATAGAAGATTTTATTCGACTGTCGTAGAAAAATTTTATTCGAGATCCTCCATCGCTTCCTCGATCAAATACTTATCTAATCTCAGTGGTATGGAGCATTAGGACCTGCAAGAGAGAGAATATACCATCCCCCATCAGGGCCATTCTTTGCAGCTCTCTGTGCCTTGTAGCCAAGCGAGAGTGAGGTCTATCTGAAAATTGGCACCGATATCAAATCGAATATTTCATGGATGTGTTTTCTCATTACATCCGTTCTAAAGTCGTCCAAGTACCACTGGCCGTCTTCTTGCTTCTCATCGGAACATCCTTGGCTTATTCGTTGCCTGCTTTGTTTCCTCAAATTGCCCCCTGTAACTCTATTCTGGCCGCCATGTTTCTTCTTGGGTGTCGCGAAGCTTGGCTGAGTTTCTCCATTCGCGGATGACATTCTTCCCGCTTTGACAATCCTCTCCACGGTCGCCTTCGACACGCCCGTGGCCTCTGCTACCGATCTGGTAATGTTGTATTCCAAACTGTACCGTCTTTTCTGCTCACTGAGAAAACTGTGGACACTGAACACGATTTCTCTCGCCTGGCTTTGGAATGCCCGAGGTTTCTTGGCACATTTCGACGTGGATGGCTGATCTTCTTGGGAAGAGGCCATTGCATACGTATGCGGTACGCTCAAGACACGGAATGCCAAATAGAGGGAGATGCTGCGCACAATCGTTGCGCAGATCACGCCTGCGCATTGGAAACCCCACTCTCGATTTGCCAAGGAAAGTGAGGTCGACGACGGACCTGAACGGTGCCTAGTTAAAAGAGGATCGAGGCGCGAGGCGAATAGGGACATCTCGTGAATATAAATAAAATATATACTTGCAATTGTAAAAAAAAAAAAAAAAAGAAAACGCAGAGGAACTACTTTCAAATCATCATCGTCTCTGCTCTTAACCTATTAGGTTGACTAAAAGGTTCGTTCAGATTTTACCGCACAAATAAACACCGATCTCTTGCGAAGAACTTTTACGAAATTAAAAATCGATCAACAGTAAGCTGGCCTAGCCATCGCTACACCGTGGATGTTTATGCGAATTCGTGTTTCTATAGATACAGTTAAAGAAGTGAAATTTGAACGAAAGTCTCTTATGAACGGTCCAACGCGCGTTTCATCGTTGTTATATATTTTTGAATTTCTGAAATCCCCGTATTTCCAATTGCCACATATGGAACATAAACAGTCTATCCATCACCTTCTCTGCGAACGTGTACATCTCCATCCTGGCCTGAGCCTTCATCCTCCTCCACTGCTCCCTCATTCTGGTGATGTCCCTGTCCGTGGAGAATCTGCCACGGAACGCTGTGTAGATCTGCTGCCAGGCTAGCGTCTTCATAGCCGATGCAGCAGCGTCGATCTTCTTGTTCTCGATCGCTGCCATGTGCGTCTTTATCAACGAGAACAAAGCGTTCTTTTCCTCAGGGACCCAGTTCTGCGTCCTCTCCCTCTTCTTCAGCAGCACCGTCGTCGCGTTTGCTGACATCCTCCTTTCACCACCTTTGCTCTTAATTCGCTCTTGCTAATTCGCTCGTAACAATCGAAATCACCCGGGATTACGATCCACTGATAATCGATCAATTTACGTCGCGACCCAGACGTTGCTATAGTCTCTTCGAGAGAACATAGTCTCGTCTCTAAATACGCGATGCCGGGTATAAACTGAACGTTGCCACAGTTTCAGGAAACTTTTACGCGTTTACAAGGAAACGTGTCCCGTTCCTCGCGCGCAGAATTTTACGTTATGCGTGCGATAGATACCTGACTCGAGTGGATTTACAGAGAACGGTTAAATCTCAGTGAATTATCGTTAGTATCCGGGTTAATTACCGCGATCGTCGGACGCGTGTCGTTTCTTCGCGTCGATTAGCTGATGTTTATCCGTCTCTCGTTTACTTGTTTAATCGCTGGTTTAAAATAGTCAGCTGTTTAACCAGCGTCGTGCATACAACGTGACCGAAAAGTACGCGTCGGCTGGCGTCGTTCCTCGTGACCCGGCACTGCTGGGAATCGATGAGCTTCATTGTTTGAATCTTGGGTCGTCTCGACTAATTCAACCGTCGAACTTATTCGAAGCGAAAAATCGGGCACTACTCGAACGATTCTGGCTGATTACCGCGGTCACAAAATTTAGGCCTACCTGGTCTCCAGCTTGGAGAACTGTTCAGCCATTTCTCGTGAAATAAAAATTCAAGGTCGAAGAGTAGAACAAAATCAACGATTTAGAATGAAAGATTTAATAGAGAAGAGGTCGCGAAAAATGATTTATTCGTCGTTTACCGCTCGATAGAATGGTATCCTATATCGGAGCTGTACCATCGATTTATGTTCTAAATCTCTAGGAACTTTGAGCGGTGGCTCTATTCAGAGGGACGAGAGTCGATGTAACCGACTTCGAGGCGTTCGTTTCCTTCTCGCGTCGATATTCTACGGCTCGTTTCGTATACCACGCGTCGCGAGCACCCAGCGTCCCGTCGTTCAGTTAAATCCGAACTAAGGAACGACTAAACGTCGGCCATTTTGGCACGGTACTAGCTAGGCGCTCGATATTAACAAATCCTCGATTCCCAGCCGGGGCGAGAGTAGCTGTAGGCGGGAGGAGGACAGACCGATGGTGGGGAGGGTAAGAAAGGGCGCTAAAGAGAGAGGGACGTTCAACGTTCCGCGCAACGCAAACATTGTTTCGTTTCATTCCGCGATCCGTCGTGGAATCATATTGCGCCGATTCCAATATTTCGCTCGTTTTATTGCGATTCCGGCCTCCCCTCCATCCCAGCTATTTCGTTCCTTCTCTAACTCTCCTCCTCCCTCTGCGTGGCTCGACGACGTTTCTCGATCGCTGATCTTCTGGCTTAATCCACGACGCCTCCACTGCGCGACTTCCTCGCGCAGGGAATTCGGTGCGCGCGGGAAAATGGACTGCGACGTTCGAGCCATGAAAAACGACTTTCAGCGAGAAAATGGGACAAATGTGTTGAGAAATACTCGTCCGAACGTTCATTTGTTATTTGATAGACAATCAGATCTATCGATGTATATTTTTAGGTCTGTGTTAGCACGAAATTGTTAGTTATTAATGTTTGATAATAGAGAGAAGGGAAGGTTTTTACTCTTTATAGGTATATATTTTTCATATATACCTATATACCTACCTATTGCATTTATTTTCACTATTTATTTATTCATATTCGCAGGCGTTTATAACTGAAATTACTGTATCGATAACACATTAATACTTTATTAAAGTACTGTCTCGAAATAAGCAACTCGGTCGGGACCGGGACTTTGAGTGCTTTCAAAGACGTTCCAATCCACATCAGTACGCGTTACATCCTTATTACATTGTACCAGAGACCTCACAGTAGGTACAATCAAACATACAGCCCCTAATGGCTTCCCCACAGTAACAAAAATTATTCCGCACCATTGCTGTAGGTGCACAATCATTATCACTATCCCGAAATATGTCCGAAAAGGAGACACATATATATATATATGTATACTCTATACATATATACAACAGCCATGTTAGCCCAGATAATTTTACACTGCGAGAAAACAAAATTTCAGAAAATACGTATGCTGTAGTTTGATCTGTAATTTAAAAGCACAAATTGTCGTGACAATTGACTAACATTTTGCAACGAAAATATATTAACGTTAATACATAATTTACAAAAATGAATTTTTCGCAGCCAACTCTTGCACTTTACACTTTACACTTTTTATATCTAAAGATCTTATTACAAGTTCGCAGCCATTAGCTCTCGGTACTATTCGCGACGAAGGATTGTTCGTCACGAATACCGGGTCTCGCCACGTGGAGGTTGCTGCGACTGGAGACCCGGAGATAGAAGGAATCAAACTTCCTTCGATCTCCCTTCACGTAGAGGAACACGCTGAAAAACACCAGTCGTTCCATTGATTCGCGGTTAACGACACTTGGGCGGCGAGGGAAAAGGGCGATCGGGAAAACTTGGCTTTCTTTTTCTCTCAGTTTAAATATGCGCGCGGTGCATACCAGGCACATGGCGGACCTCGGACACCAACATCCAAGGTGTACTGGTCACTGGTTGCACCTATACTGTGGTACAGTTTTATGTCGTACGTATGCGAGCGCTGTTTCACCGAACAGTTTCAGGCCTCTCTTGGGGTACGCCCCGGAGGGATGACATAACGGCTGCTTCCTCATCATTCGGTACGCTCCGAGTTGCGAGTGAAGGACGATATAAATCCCAGTGGCAAGTGCGTCCGCAGCGACGCTGTGCGGTTGTGCAACGGCCAACCGTTCCATATAAGACACACCATCGCCTCTTCCTCCGCAAAACCACTCGCGATGGTGTCGTATTGTGGTGAATAACACGCGCCTTCGGTTACCATAATCTAGTCAGCCCGGTGCGCCGTCAGTGAACTCCCGCGCGCAGCGATCCCGAAGCACGAAGTCGACGGATTACGAAGTCCCTGATCGTATTTACCGATCGATCCATCGAAGACGACCCGTTTCGTTGACCCATTTCCCCTTCGAATTAACACGAAGCATCGACGGGCACAGAAGTTTTTTTCGCGGCAGATTTCTCGCGAGAGATCGATGGATCGTTTCGTTAGTGTCGCCGCGGGCTTACGCAATGATCGCGTGCCGATCGGAGGAGCCTAAGAATAGCTTCCGACGGGAATCGTCAAGGCTGCTCGAGGATCGGTGAGAGTAAATTAGAGGGAAAGTGCGGGTACGTCTCTCAACCCTAAGTTCGTGCGTTCGCGGCTTCGATCGTCGGTGCGTTTTCGCGGATTTCGCGGTGGAATTCTAGGTGTGTCCCGTGGGAACAACGTTCGCGAGTTTCTGGATCGTTACGGTGGTCAGGATGATCTATTATGACGCGAAGAGAGTAAGTATCAGCCGACTGGTTCGGTGGAAACGGAGGCACTGGCGCGAATCGAGGTGGTGGGTAGCGATGGATTCGAGACGTGGTAAAGTACGTTGCTCATTTGTGACTTTGAAAGAAGTTACACCTTTTTGAACATTTTGTAACGCTTTCGAGGCAATGTACGTTCACTGTAGTATCGAGATGGTAGGTTCTCCTAATGAAATACTCGACTGGACTAAAAGTATTATAATACGATGGCACGGTATTACGAGTTCTTTTCAATCGCTCTAGAGTAATTTTCAACCTTAACATCGTCGTTATAGCAAATGAGCATTGTAACACGACCCTAGAATTGGTTCGAACACTCGATTTTCAAGTAGCTTTAGTTAAGAGGAATATACGTAAATTATCGTTCTCCTCTGTGTAATCAGCTTAGCAACCCTCTATGGGGCTCTATGAATTTATTTATCCTCAATGTCTCTTTTGCAGCGAGCTTGCAAGTCACTTACTTTAACACTTCAGGTTATCGGTTATTAAATACATTATACGAGGTGTGGCAATTAAATAACGTGACTGGTGTGAGAAATGTGATTTATTGCAAACAAAGTTACCTCGTATAATTAAAACGTGCACGTCGTCTCATGTACTAAAATTATACTACAATTATTCGCTAAAATGACAATATATTAACACGTGACCTGTTACATTAGCTTATTGTCGGATTACAAAAACAAAAAAATAACTATCGACGGATTTTCGCGTCGCCAGGCGGCTACTGACCGGCTTTTTCTTTCCGTTGTTCGGCGTGGCTAAAGCGTGACGCGACGAGAACAGTTCAGTGCGCGATTAACGTCGATCGATGAATAAAGTGTCTGTTTCGAAGCTGACCTTGGTATTATTTAGTTTTCCGTTTCTAATTCGACACCCATAGAGGGTTGAAATGATCGAAGATCGTTTCGAAGATGTCTCGAATCCAAAAGCAGCGATTAGTGCATGCTCGTGTCGTGCTTGCTAAATGTTGGATATATAAATTCATATTGCGTCGATCTGAGATAGATCTTGCAAATGTGGCTTACATAAACAGCTCCATTATGCTTGCTGGTCCAATATGGCGACTCGCTAGCCGGACCTGTACTTTATGTAACCGAACCTGACCCACAGTCGCTGCACGAGACGGCATTGGTGGAAGGGCTTTGATCAGCATTGCAACAAGGATTCTTGAATAATTACGAGCTCCTTACGCCACCGAGGACAAACGCGACCTCCGTCGACGTTTTTCCTTCATTTTTCACTTCTCATCGAGAACCACCGATTAAATCCTCGCGCACCTGTATCGAGTGCTTTCACGCTTATCGAGAATCTCGAACGACCACCAAGTGGAAGAACGGTTCATCGATCACCGCATTCATTAATTCTTTTTTTTACCAATTACCACTTGTTGTGCGACGACTATTTTTGTTAATTGGAGGACACTCGGTCCGCGACAGGCGTTTGCCTTATTTGTTAACTCGTCGCGTTGCCTGTTTCCGGAATGAATTCAATTTTAGAATGCTCGTTCACATAGTAAAAACGAAAACGGTTAACGTTAGGAAAAGAAAAATTGCCGATGCTCCGCCAATAATTTATCAGTGAACTCTTGGCTGTAGTTGTATTTTTAGAAACTAAAAGTGGTTCGCACTTGCATGGAGAATTTTGATTAAGGCTCTCGCGTTTAATTTCAACGCGAAAATGTTGTCCTTCGTTTGCAAGTTATACTTTGCCAATTATCGTTGAATTTTTGAGCGTAATTATATTTTCAAAAACAAGCGGTAGAAGGAGTTCGTACTCGAGTACCTAAATTTTGCGAAGGTGTCGATATAAATTTTCAGAAAATGTGGAGCACGTTTAGTCTTTGTTTCTGAAAAATGTCTCCAGGTGAACGAGAGGGTGGAATACCCCAGGTTACCTCAAAGTTTGTCGAGCGACTTGTGTCTGACTTGGAAGAATATTTCGTACACGACCCAGAAAAGAATCAATGGCGGCAGCCTTCGAGCGATTTTCGGCCTGCAACAGACCGAATTCATTCAGTTGCTTAACGGAGGTACGTCGAGAGATATTACAATGAGAAATAGAAACGAAACAGAATTGTAAGTTAAGAAATCCGATGTCGGTCGGTTAATATTCTGTTCTAATTCTAGTTAGCGGCGTAGTTAGTTCTGGAATGTTGATGGCTATCGTGGGACCAAGGTAATATCCCGGGGATTTTCATTAATTTCCAGCCTAACTTTTATTCTTCAACTGAGTCTAACTTCCTGGGTCTTACTTTCGAACGCATGTGATTTTTGTCCGTTATTTTTAAAATTATATGATTACAATCAGCCAACGAACAATTTCCCGTCGCTATGTTTATTCCTTTTACTCTGCATTCTAAAATCAAAAATTCACCAAAGTGTTTCATACATTCCATTTGAAGTACGGAATCTTTTCTACGACTTCAACAGTAGCTTCAAGTATTTCTTTTCATCCGAAGTTGAACGCGGTTTGCCGATGTTCTTAATATCAAAGTCTACTTAGGAGGTAGAGATAAAATTGCATCTCGAGAGTAGAGATCGCGGAAATTACGAGTGCTTAGGAATCCAGGGTTCATCGTTTCCAGGGAGGAAAATGTTTTTCTTTATTTAATGCAGTTCTCTTGCAGCGGTGCGGGGAAAACCACGTTGCTAGCGACCATCAGCCGACGTGTCAAAGGTGCTTGTTCCTATTTTTCTTTTCAAAATAACTGTATCGAAACGTTGTCAAATTTTCTTCGATATCTCAAGTATTCCATATTTCTGCAAGAAATATGTTTGGATTTGGAGACGAAGTTTCTCAGCTTGAATTGGTATTCTTACAAGTTGCGATTTTACATTTTGCTAGAATTTTTATACAATTCCTGTCACTTTCTTCTTTTCGAGAATTGAAATTTCGAAGCAGAGTAATTTTTGACAATTAATTTTTGGTCGGTAGGCAGAGCGACTGGCGAGATCCTACTAAATGGGAATCCAATAGACACAGGCCAAATGATAAGGATATCAGGGTTCGTCCCGCAGATGGACCTGGCGGTCGAGTCTCTGACGGTCCAAGAGCACATGGAGTTCATGGTTGGTCTGATTAGCGTGTCACAGTTCACCTGTCGCGTCGTGCGTGTCGCTTTGAAACATTTTGCACCTCGTTTGCGAATTAATTACTTAACGCTCCGGTCGCCTTCGATCCGGCGATCGATATCTCAAAACGTTTAGACGGCTATGGAGCGTTTCACGCTGCATTGGCTCGAATAATTTGTTCGATAATATCGCGTTGATCGACTGCCAACAACGACATTAGTTAAAGTGTAACGTAGTTAATTCCCGCGTAAATTCGTAGCCAATGGGCTTTGATAGGAAATTAGTCGAACTCGAGGTTTCTTCTCTCGATTTTCAAGGCAAATACGCTTCGAATAAATCTGAAATTTTGGCTACTTTGGAAAGTGTTCGAAGGAGGAAACGTAACAAAAATATTAACAAATTTGAGATTTATTCCAAGTCTGGACTGCTACTTAAACAGATTTTATTCGTTGCTTTCTGTTTTTCTTCGTCGAATAACACGATTCGGAAAGTTCACTCGACGTTTTGTTAACGCGAATCCGTTGAAATACGCAACTGCAATTTGATATTCCGTACACCCGCCCCTGAACGTTGAGTCATCCGGTTAACGTTCCAGAATTATTGGATTTCGAAGCCATTAGAACTTTACAATTGTTTCCCTTGATTAAGGCGTGCATGAAAATGGACAGGAGGCTTCGAGCCAACGTTCGAAGGGAACGTATAACCTGCCTGTTGGCGGAATTCGGCCTGGGGATATGCGAGAACTCGAAACTCTCGGCCCTTTCCGGCGGAGAGAAGAAAAGGGTGGCTCTGGCTGTTCAAGTAAGCAATCTGCTTCTCACAATCACAAGGTTCACACTCATCCCCTTCTGGAACATTGAATCATTCATTCAAAACAAGTCTGTTCCTGTAATATCTCAATTTTCATCGGATTTCAATAGAATTTCAATTCTTATCAAATTTCAATAGAATTTCAATTTTCACACAATTTTAATAGAATTTCAATTTTTATCCAATTTCAATGGAATTTCAATTTTTATCCAATTTCAATAGAATTCCAATTATTATTCAATTTCAAGAGACTTTCAATAGAATTTCAATTTTTATCAAATTTCACTAGAACTCAGAAAAAAAAACTCAGATAACACAAGTAGTAGCTTGTGGGAGGTGATTTACACATGCAAATTCCCCATCGTTCTACGATAGAACAAACAATGGTTAGCAGCAGATTAATGATGCTCAGACTTTACTTTTATATTCATAGTTTCAGACTCTTAGAACGTCGCATTATTAATCATCTCTTTCCCATTAATCACCCTTCGACAGACTTGTAAACGTACCTATTAACGTACATTGTAACGTATTTCCTGCGACAAAGTTTCCATTAATAATTTTCACCGGCAACAGTGAATTTTTATTACATCAGTAACCACGAAGAAAACTCGTTAAACGTTGCTTTCTGTTTTTCTGTTGACATTTGTAAGAGCGATGTCTTCTCGTATTTCATTGTGCATCTGAATCTTATTTAGAATGATCAACGATTAAACGCAGAAGACTCGTAGACGTACACTTTGTCTCACAGCTTTCTCAACGTGAAATACACATAGGGTAGAGAATTTTTCTAGCTGCTCACCGAGCCCAGTATCCTCTTCTGCGACGAGCCAACCACTAGTTTGGACAGCTACGGCGCCATGACGGTGGTGAGGACACTTAGGGAGGTTGCTGCCAGAGGAAGGATAGTAGTTTGCTCCCTGCATCAGCCTGCTTCCGGTTTGCTGGACATTTTCCACGAGGTTCTCCTCCTCTCTGGCGGTAGAGTCGCTTTTCAGGGCTCAGCTGCTGATGCCACCAGCTTCTTCGATAGGTTCGAATGCATATTTATTCGTAGGAAACTCTGTTACATACACAAGCCAATCAACTTTAATTCCTGTCGCCCTTTCTGGTTTTGAATCTTCGGACGATTACAGAACTAGAGAAAATTGCATAGAAAGTATTTAGAAAATTACATAGAAAAGTAAAGTAAAGAAAAATCCATACCGACATAAAGCACATGTGTATCAATACAGAGATCGACTATTACACGTAAACCCAGACCTAACCCAGTCACTGTGACCTAACCTAGCTCAGATAAGAAATCACTGTGAATTTCCAGCTTAAATCTGCGTTGTCCTCCAACCTTCAACAGCGCCGAGTTCTACGTCTCTCAATTGTCCATCGTCAGGGACAAAGAAGCTGAGAGTTACGCGAAGGTAAAGGAACGGGGCAACGAATAAATAAAAATCACACCTCGGTGTGTAAAATAAATAAAAAAACGAAAGAAAGGACATAAGACGATCCATTCGCAGGTGAACTGGATCTGCGACGAATACGAGAAATCGAAATACGGTCAGAGGGTCTCCAAGCTGATCGAGTACTCCTCCACTGCCACGTCGGACTACAGCGAGTTGCCATTAATATTTACAGACGTTCCTATGGCTCGTAAGGGTTTCAAAAGGGCCAGAGCCTTCACGCAGATACGGTGGCTCGTCTGGCGAGCCTACGTCGACTATAAAAGGAACATGGCTTCTCATCTCCTGCGATTCGTCACGTACATGGTGAGATATCGACTGCATCTCGCGACAACTTCTTGCTGGAACTTCTTGCTGCAACTTCTTGCTTCGTATTGTCTCGAAATAAGCAACTCGCTCGAGACCGGCGAGTTTCGGATAATATTGTGTTCTGTCCTCTTTCTACTAATTTTCGACTACTCGCTTTCACGGACCTCTCGCTTCTTTTCGGATCTCTCGCTCGATGGGCGACTTCGAGCAAAAATTGCGAGACAATACTGTACTGGCTTTAAGTAGACTGCGCAAAAAATGCCTTGAGAAACACTTGATACTCGAGCTTCTAACGTGGTTTCCTCCCTTGACTGGATAAATGCAAGATGACTATACTCGTCACTAGGGAGGTTCTCCTTTGAGCAGTGCAACATGATCCTAACCGATTGATACGCTTCTGTCTACTGCTTTTCTTCCTCGGACCGGTTTCTCTTTCGCTCTCTGCCCTTTTTAATCGACTTCGAAAAGGAGCAGGTTACTCGATTCGACATGTATATATTTTTTTTTTCCCTACATTCGAGCCAAATGTAAGCACAGAATAAAAACCTCGACTGTATCAAGACTGATCGATACACCGAACACCTGGTCTCTTGCTCCGACTTACTTAAATATTCTCGAATACCATTTCGACTCCGAAAACTGAAAGTCTCGGTTCTTCAAGTTCGTAGGACTCCTAATAGCGTCGCCCTACGTGGACGTCGTTGGGGGAGCGATGAATCAGGACGGGATCCAAAACATGCAAGGTTTACTGTACCTGGTGGTCGTGGAGACCGTGTTCACGTTTAATTACGCAGTTTTCTACACGTTCCCAGGAGAAATGCCGCTGTTGCTGCGCGACATCGCCGGCGGACTTTACGGTCCAGCGCCGTATTACATCAGCAAAGTTGTCGTTCTGGTGAGACACTCGATAATCTCGAATTGCGTTTTTTATTATGTCGACTGGGACAGGTTGAACTCGAGAAGTTCGTTGCTGACGAAATTGTAATATGTTCGACTTCATTTTAAACCGTATCGAAGTAGTCTCCGCCATTACTGATTGGTGTCGTCGCAAAGAACGTATTCGTATCGATTTTAATTAAATTTATGTAGCAGGAACACGCTTACTTTTTTTTTTTTTTTTTTTTTTTTAAATACAATCAATTACGATAAATATTCGATGGAGAACTATAGACATCTGTGAACGTTTCTAGATACCTGGGGCTATAATGCAACCACTTCTGTACGCCGTTTTCATATTTAACATCACTGGCCTGAAGGGAGGATTCTTCGGGTTCGTGTACTTCGCACTGCCAGTAGTAGTATCTGCCATTACTGCGTCCGCTCTCGGTGAGCAGTTGAAACCAGATGCCTCATTTCCGTGCGAGCAAACTGTCGAAATTGTTCTTCTATTCTAACGCTAGAATTCAGAATTAAGATTCGTCGTTCTTGCTCCGCCAAAGCACGTACGGATATCCTCCTTATGTTACAATTACAGAACGAAAAGAATTTAATTGGGAAATTTGTTCGCATGGAATTGCATCTTAAGGCGATGGATCGCTGTTACGAGCACGATTAAACTTTGACGAGTACTTTTGACCAGGTTTGTGCCTGTCGGCATCGTTTAAATCCGTGGACACCGCCTCCCTATTCTCCGTGCCGGTGGACTTCCTTGGCCTGATGTTCTGTGGGATTTACCTGCATCTTGGGTGAGCATCGTGATCTCATAAATCGGTCAGATGGAGCTTGATAAGCTTAATAAACTTTATAATCGTCACTCATCGCTAGACCGCGGATTTTATGCGCTTATATAAGATGAAATAACAATATTATCGTATGAATTATAGAATGTAATCATTCAACGTTTATATCAATGTATGTTGAATACACAGGGTGTCCCGGAATTAGTGTAAGAATCAATGGAGAGCTGAGACGATTCCGAACCGGAGTTTCCTTTGCAAAAATGTCGGATGGTGCCTCGTTTTTGAGTTATTAACGAAAAACCGTCGACCAATCACAGCGCCCGAGTACCGCGCATTGAGCCGCGAGAGCACAGGCTCGAGCCAGGATTGGTTGCCAGTCAGCTGAGTGTCCGCCAATCCTGGCTCGAGCCTATGCTCTCGCGACTGAGCGCGGGCTACACGGTCGCAAAGAAAATATATTTCATAGCTTTAAACCCTAATGTAATCGTAGAATATATTTATTGTATATTATCCACTGCCATCGTACATCATAAAATCCGCGGTCTGTTCGTAACGTAATTTTTGTTAAACTTGACGGGCTTCCAGGCACCTGGCACCTGGTATCGCGTGGGTAAAATACCTGTCTCAGTTCTACTACGGTCTGGAAGCGGTTTCCTTAACGCAGTGGCTGTTGATCGATCACATAAGTACGTTGTTGCTTAGAAAAATAGAAAACTTGCGATACAAGCGTTCGATCGCCTTGCGAGATATTAGTAAACGGCAATTTTGTGTTTCCAAAGACTGCGCCCCGGATCCTGAAGAGCCTTGCATATCCAGTGGACTGGGAGTGTTAGAGAAATACGGTTATCTGCCGAACCACTACGCGGTGGACATAATTGGCCTACTGGCGATATTCTCGGTCAGCCATTTAGCAGGTTTTCTACTGATTCGGCTCAGAAGTCGGAAAGAACCTGTTTACTAACATTTCAACTTTCACATAACGAGAAATTGGCTCCACGATTGAATATAAATTAATCGTATGAAACAATTACACAGGTGATCATTTTAGAATTAATTGTACAGTTAATTGGTAATTTGTACATCCACGAATCCTACTTTTTCACTCGTTTATTTAAAACGATATTGTACATAAGGCATATCTTCACTATTCGATTGTAAACAAAGGGGTACAAATTTTTAATGATATATCGTTTAATAATAATGAATTATTTTTAATGTATCGAATGTATTCCAAGAGGTAATACAGAGTAGAGAAGCGCGATCAGGCATTCCTAATCTAATTAGTACTGAGATCAGCAGAATATTCGGACATTACTGATAACGATAACGTTTCGTACTCGCAAAATCAGAGCGCACTGTATTTCGCCTAAAAATGGTTCCGCTTCGAATAAAATGAAACTGTTGGCAAAAAAACTGATTCTCCTGCTCCTTCGTAAACCAAAATATCCAACGATAGAATTTTATCTTTAGATATATCTTTAGATATACGATATAAACGCGTATGTAAATATAAAAGGACGCAGAATTATTTATTGCTAAATAGAAGACGCAAGGTGAAGCTTTTCGAAAGGACAATGGTCTTACATGCACGTTATCGCACCTGTACGTTTACAAAAGAATGAAATTAGGTGTTTCCAAGTATAATATAGGTTTCGAGTTAATCATCAGTGTACATAACCACGCGAACGATGCAACGTCAACTACAATTCTTCTATTATGTAAAGCAACGACGTTCGTTGCGTCTCATTTCTACGATTCGTAAGGATCTATACATAGAAAATTATATAATATAAATTTGCCCCGAGTTTTCGTCGTTCGACGAACGGGACAGGGCGCGATATCTAAGGTATTTACAATAACGTAAATTGTATAATAACGGTAATAGTATATAGATAACAAGTACATACGAGTACGCTTAAGAACCGCGATAGGCTGGAGGACGTCGTTCCACGTTTAATTCGGGTAAACGATTCGTAAAAACGATGGTCGAGAAGTCATGGATGGACTGGTGAACAGTTTCATCGATTGCACGCGCGATGACTGCGAGATCGCGATCGAATGGCTGGAAGGCACAAGGTCGACGTGAAATATCGCCGCTTTATTCTTAGGCGGCTTCTTTGCGTCGGCGACATTTTTCTTTTGTTGGCAATGAATTCTAGTCGAGGTTTCGCGTGAAATTGAATCACCAAAGAAGGATAACGAGATCTTTGGAATTTTTAAACCGTAGTCTATTTACTTTGTTCGTTCATCTATTCTCCGAGAGTATGTATAATTAAACTGCAAATGTACTGCGTTTACTTTTACGTGCCTCGATCAAAATCCGATCGATCGACGTAAACGGTATCTAATCGCCGATTCATCTACAATCGTTCTTTTTTAATTTCGATTCTTTGCGATCTTTTTATTTTTCTTTTACTTATTTTTAATCGTAAGTGGCTCAACAATTTTTAAATTCGTTAAATTTGCGGTATACATACCTTCAGTTAATAAACAACCCCACAAGCTCGTTTTCACTCAACGAGACTTAAAATCAGTCCATCGTGTTACGATAATTTTTCATCTATTTTATCGACCGACTCAGCGATGGGATTGCATATGCAAGCGAGTGACGTTGAGGAAGACAGCGAGGAATGAATGCTTTGCAATGTAGTATTATATTGACTTTCAAGTGATTCTCTATAAATAATATATATATATATATATATCCTATATTGTATATATAATATGGATCTTATATATAATTACATTATGTATAATACCTATCGACAATTATCGGAAACACGAAAACGTCCGTGAGCTTATAGTTAGTGAACGTGGAGCTCCTTTCTTCGGCAAGAATTTCGTTCCGAGTTTTCGTATAAAAAAGAATCTATAATCGTACCTGCAGCCACCGGCAAACCGCGCCGGTAAACGCTGCGGCGACAGTTACACAGAGCGGTCTACTAAAAACGAAACTTCTCGATATCTTCGCTACTTTAAATAATAAAAAAAAGTTTTGTCTACAAAAGCGGTTTCGGTTTCGATCGATGCACGGCACGGCGACCGTAATTCTTCCATAACCGATGACGGATTAGCTATCCGAAAGACAACTTCGCATTTTTTTAATCTAGTGGCCAATTTTGTACGACACGAGTATAAAAGTACGAAGGTACACTTAATCTAAAACTAACACTTTCCGAGATATTCAGCTACCGCAACTTAAAATTAAAGTGTACAATTCTTAAAGTGTTCAAGATACTTCTTCTCATTATTTAAAATATCGACGACATTAATTTGTCACGACCACCCTGTACGAGTTAGAGTTTGGGTTACATAACTAGACTTACTTGGTAACGTACGATCGATAGTCGGCTACCTGTTAGCTACCGTTTTTTTCCTTTTTTTGTGTTTTTTTTTTCACGTGGTCACGATTGAAGTGAGTTACAGCCGCCCATGAAAGCTTTCGTCGCGTCACGGGATCAAAAAGTAGAAAAAGTTTCGAGGTCCGTCGATGGGACTTCGTCCGAATGAAACGGAGGACAATTCTTTCGCGCTTCAAAGCCCCGCTTACCTAACGAGTCTACCTACCATAGAAATTTAAAAAAATCGACTCTCTTTTCGATGCGATATTCTTAAACTTCAAGCCTTCGTTTAGGAGAACATTTGCTTCTAGATGCAACGAAAGTAGTAGATGCAACTCGAACGTTCGAGATGCACATCCCTATAAAAACAGAACAGTGAGAGGAAACATCCTCCACAGTCGAGGAGTGCGCTCTCGAGAGCCATACAACAAAATTCGATCAAGGAACTGCATCGTCCCAACCGTCAGACTGGAAAACCATAATTTTTCTCGTCGGTTCAACATCCAGGGCTCCTGACCTCTGCGTATCGGTGAGAAACGCAGCCCTCCGGGGCGTATATGTACAAACGGACAAGTGCGAGCGACGATCGATCGGAATCGCGCGTTCTCAGCGAGTGGCGAGCAGCCAATAGCGTTCGAGCGTCCCCGACGCGACAGCCGACGGAGAAACGCCGGCCGCGCGACAATAAACGGCGTTTATCGCGCGTCTTGTCGCGACGCGATAACCGGCCGTTGTTTTCCAGTGGCGGCGATCGTGACGAGCGGGGATCCAACGTGAATCGAGTGGACGTCAGCGTCGTGGCACCGACGACGCGACCACGACGATGGGACGACGATACGGGACCTGGGGATCCTGGCATCGGTGGGTTACCGATTCGTCAGCAGGAGCAGGACTTCTTTGAGCTCGTCGGTGACTGGTTCAGCGCGAATCTCTCGCCGTCGGTCTGGTCCTGGGAACCGTTGCCCTTCATCAACTGGTCGTTCTGAAGTATCTGGAACAGAGAAGTTGAGGCATCAGTAGGCTTTCGTATTAGTAGTGATGGCAGGAATTGAGGAATGGTAGGAATCGAGCCGCACTAGTAGATCGAGTCACGGTGAAATTGGAATGAATGGAGTTGGGATTGCTAGGGGTCGCAGAGTGGAGGACAGCTGCTGGAGGAATTTGTATATTTAGTTGGAATAAAATTGATTCTCTAGATGAGCCTACAGTGAAATTAAAATGTTAGGAGATGGGATTAATAGAGGATGTAGATGTCCTCTAGAATAGCTTCCGGAGGATCTTGGATATTATAATGAACTGTACTTGATCTCCTAGGTGAGTCACAATGACATTTGAACGGTACGAGTTGGGATTGCTAGAGGTTGCAGAGTGGAGGACAGCTGCTGAAGGGTTTTGTATATTTAATTATACTAAATCTTCCAAATGAACCACACTAAAATCAAAATGTTAGAACTACATTTGCTACAAAATGTAGACTCAAGGGACCTCCCGAAGGATCTCGAACCTCTAATTCTACCAAAATTAATCCTCCAGATGAGCCACACAATTCAAACAATCACAATAGCTACACATCGTCCCCCAAAGAGCTGCACAAATCTGACGTCACGCGACACGCAGTTGACCGATAACATCGTGGCTCGAAGCAACTTAAAAACATCCCGATACGACGTGCGTTCTTATCCACGTACTCGTTCTTATGCATGTATTCGTGCTACGTGTTTCGTATACTCGAACCGTATTATCGAGGCGCAGATGGGCGGATGATCGACGCAGGACTTTAGCTTGCGTCGAACCGAAACGAACTTTTAAGGCGATCACCTTGTCGCGGGTCGACGTCATTGATAAATCTATCGAACCTAACGTAGTACGCAGCAGCTGACGTTCGATCGGGGGAGCGCGACACGATATTCCGTAAATAGCTCGCGCGTACTCGCAGGTTATCTTCGCTGATCGAACTTTTTCGTGCACGCAAGTATGCAGAAGCTACTTTCTTCTTTCCATCGACGCGATACCGAGGGTGGCCATATGTATGTACCTTCCGTGTCTATTGAAGAAATTTGATTAAATTAGATGATAGAATTGACGTCCCGAATGAAGTTTTCGTTATAAATACACACAGATGTGTAAAGTTTCTTCGTGTACGTATTTGCGATGAAATATCGAACCTACCATGCATGTACATAATATATATGAACATTACATATAGAC